CACCATATCCTTCTTGCTCATTGTTTTATCCTCAGGAGTTTGGAATACACAAGAATGTTATAAATAGTTTATAAATGAAGGAAGGAAGGGAAGAAGGAAGGAAGGGAGAAGGGAAGGAAATTTTCAAATATTAGGGAAGCCAATTGTTCAGTTTATTTAGTATTCAAAATGCAATCATAAGGACAGTATTTTTGAAAATACTTCCCTTATGACTGGGATTTCACCAACTCCTTCCTGTGCTTATTGAATTGCTGAAAATAATATCAAAAAGTGTTATTTCCTCCTCTGATTCCTCTAGGAAATGAAGACACAAATCATAGAGTCCAAGTGACTTGAGCCAAAATGGTTCATCTTGGTTCTTATGTTATTGTTTTGGAGTCTGCCCAGCTATCCGCACTATACCATCTGCACTGTATCCTAAACATCTCTCACTTTCCCATCGGACTATTGGCTGCATTGTGAGATTCTCAACTCTTCCCCTTGACTCATCTCTCAAAGTACAGACAATTATTTTCATTCTAATGGAAAAGAGCGAGTGCGTGAATCACCCAAACGAGTGGGTTGTCCAAACACTGTTTGGTTTTCAAATGCATCATGTAGATTTTCATATAACCAGAATTCACCCACTGCTCAGAAAACTAAACATTCTTAAGTGGCAGTCCAAATTTGGGAACCACAGCTGTTTTTAGCAATTGCGTCACTGTCTTTCAGGTGCCAAAAATATCACCTATCATATTCTCCAGGGTTCAAAGAAAGAGGAAAGAGGAAGAAAGCAAAGAACAAGTTGAGAATAAAGGTAACATGAAGCTTCTCCAGTAAAATGAATTGTTATTAAAAAAAAACTTTAATAACTGAAACAACAATAATTATGACAATAAGAACTACTATTCACTAGCAATGAACAAACCAGGGTCTCATGTGATCTTCCTAATCTTCCTATGAGGGAAGGAGGATAGTACAATGGTTGCTATCAAGTACTAGTTCCAGGAACTGTTGTGGATATCAAAATCTGCAGTTGCTTAAGTCCCATATACAAAATGGTATATTGTTTGTATTATAACCTATGCACATTCTTCCACGTATTGTACTTTAAATCATCTCTAGATTACTTATAATACCTAATACAATGAAAATGCTAGGTAAATAGTTGCTAGTACCTGGCAAATTCAAGTTTTGCTTTTTGTAATCTTCTAAAATGTTTTTTTTTCTAGAATATTTTCAATCAGTGTTTGGTTGAATCCACAGATGCAGAACACACAGATACAGATAGAGAGGGCTGACCGTGTTCTTAGCAACCTCATTTTACAGGTGAAGAAACAAAATCAGAAAGGGTAAGTGAATGGCTGAGGGTCATACAATCCAAGCCACTAGACTTCAAATCCTGTCTCCTGTCTCTTCTTCAAACAGCCTCACCACCTTGCATGAATTTGTTTGGGTAGGAAATCTACCCTTTTTCCACTGCTAGGACCTAAGGAGAGATCAATAAGATTTCTCTGAACTTCTCGAAATAAAAAAGAAACAGAGATTCCATTTCTAGCTTTTGGATGAGAGTTCCATGTATATACCTAATAAAATGTTTACTTGGACCATCTCCAAGCTGGTTGGGGGGTGGGGGGGCTCACAAGAAAGAACTTTGATCACTCTGCCCCAGACTGTACCCTAGTATCAAATTTACTAAACCCCCATTCCACCCACAGGGGATTTCAGGGACAGCCAAAGTAACTTTTCAACTGATAAATCTTGATGACTCTTCTGGTCTCCTAGCCTTCGTCTCCCCAAATCAGGCCAGTACCTAGCATATCCTCTGCTGTGGTGAGAGACTCCCCTTCTCAAGGCCCTAACCACTGGGTCCAGGTTACTGTAGCCAGTAGAAGGTCTATCCTATGAATCAAACCTCAATGAATCTGTGATCTAAGAACAACTCTAGCAGATACCCATTTAAGGCAATTTCTGGCAAGAGTTTTATAAAAGAGATTTGGAAAAAGAAAACCAGTCAGAGAGAGAACTGAATGGGCTACTAAATAAAACAAGGAGGCTGAAACTTTGGCAGACAGTATTTTCCCAAAGTGACTGAAAAAATGTTTCTGGTGTTATGTGCCCTTCCAGAACCTCATCACTCCCTTATCAAGAAGGGTTTATTTCCTCTTCTCTTAAATCCCTAAGGGTCTTAGTGACTGTCTTAATGAATCGACTATGGTTGAAGCAATGCCCTATGACTTCTGAGGATAGGTAGAAAAGTTAATAGAGCTTCCACCTGACTCGCTCTCTTGGGCATCTGACTTTAAAACCTTGAGAGGAAATCCAAGGCTACATGAAGAGGTATTCTGGTTATCAGCCCTACAAAGGTGATAGCTGACAACTGACATCAACTTTCAGAGTGAATGAGCTTTCTGATGATTCCAGTCACTGGCCTTTGAATTAGCCTAGCCTTCATGTTTTCCAGTTGAAACTAATGGAGCAAAGAAAAGCCATCCTATGGGAATTCCCGACTCATAGAATTCATGGTCATAATAAATGGTCGTTTTAAGTCACTAAGTTTTGGGATAATTTATTGCACAGCAAGACATAACCAGAACAGAAACATAAGCCTAAGGGGACCACCAAGCATTTTGTATTTGCCAGAGCCAAAAGGTGGTTCCAGGCCCTACTGCTAATTCTATCTACCTCCTGCCAGGTGCCTTCTGTATATATAGGCCATTTCTCCTCGAGGCTCCACTGCTCCTTTCTGCAATCACACTTGGCTCTCCTTTTCTGTGTCCATCAGACGTGTTTTTAAAGGTCTGAATTTCAATTGTGCCCAGAGTTTGAGACCTTTTCCTTAAGTTTCTTCAGGCTTGCCTGGACAATTCAGGAAGCAAGTTTAGTCTCTAATTTCAGTCTCTGAACATTCTGTGACGGTGAAGGAATATTCAGTGGTGGAGAGTAATCAGTAGTGGGGAGAAAGAGGAGAACCTAACTCCTAACTCATTTGTCTTGGTTTTGACCTAGTTCTACTTAAAGAATTACATGAACATAGTTAGAACCTTTGCTCACAGTGCCATGACACCACTGAATCATTTTACTTCCAGTGATAATCCTTTGATCAGGTTGCTAGACTCAAAGCTGGAAAAACCAAAAATACAGTGACTTATTATGTTGAACACTATTGTAATACAAAAACTTAGACTAGTACCTGGAACACAGTAAACACTCAGTAAACATCCATTGAATGAAAGAATGAACAAGTGAATAAATGAAAGAAATTTCCTCCCCTCTTTTTAGAGACTAATAATTAATACTGGATTAGTATAATGTGCTTAGAAAACTCTATAGAGTTTAATAGGTTGACATTCTACTTCGTTAGGTAATATGTTTTTCAGCTTGCTCAAAGTAAGTATTAAACCTTGAAACTGTACAGTTCCTCAAGGGCAAAGACCATGTCTCATTCTATTTTGTATCCTCAGCAGCTGGCACTATGCCTGCTACTTGTTAAAAGCTCAGTAAATAGTAGTTAAATATTAAAAACTAAGTGAATATCAAACAGAGACTGACAGATATTTCAAATCATTTAGTCCTTCTAGGCATTGCCTTTAGGAGACAGTGACAGATAATGGTGATCCCCAGAGGGATCAGACTGGGATGGAGAAATTCAGAAGTCCTGAGGCCTCACAGCTTCTAAAGACTCAAAGGGTTATTTTTAATCTGAGTATGACATTAAGTGCTTTTCTATGATTGCGCCAAACAGTATTTTCTTACACAACTAATTTTAGAATGAGCCATTTGTTTATTTACCCATTCACTTATTCATTCATCCCATATACATATATTTTGGCCATGCCATGGCTTGCAGGATCTTAGTTCTTGGACCAGGGATTGAACCCAAACCCTTGGTGCTGGAAGTATGGATTCCTAACCACTGGACTACCAGGGAACTTTCCCCATTCACTCCATATTAGTGGGGGCCTACATGTTTGTTTTTTTGGCAAAGATGTATTTAATCTGCCCAAGAGGAAGTTGGATGTTTAAAAGGTCTTCATTCCCTGGAAAGGGCTTCCCTGTGGCTCAGCTGGTAAAGAATCCACCTGCAATGCGGGAGACCTGGTTTCGATCTCTGGGTTGGGAAGATCCCCTAGAGAAGGGAAAGGCTACCCACTCCAGTATTTTCGCCTGGAGAATTCCATGGACTGTATAGTTCTTGAGGTGCAAAGAGTCAGACTTGACTGAGTGACTTTCACCTTCACTTTTCCCTGGAAAAGTATCTGACTAGGAAACTAAAGAAAGATGAGATACTATTTTGTAGAGGCAGATGGAAATTGTAGACATAAGACCCTCACAATTCAGACTTAACTAATCTAGTGTATTGTAAAATGTGATCAGCATTGGGTAGAATCACTTGATAGATGACTATTAAAAGGCAGAGATGTCTGGGATCCATTCCAGACACACTAAGTCAAATCATCAGAAATGAGAGTGGAAATTTCACAAACAGCCTCTAGTGATTTTCATTTTACTCAAGTTTGAGAACTACTGACCACAGGTTTCTTGCTAATATATGACCTACATATGATTGCTTAATTTAATCTATGTCTACAAAAGTAAGATGTTACTTGGCTGATTCTAAGATGCCTAGGAGTACTGTACATGTGGCTCAAAATTGCCAATACCCTAGACCAAAATTCCACTAAATGAATGTAATCATCCTCTCCTTAAACTAATCCAAAATAAGCTCTTGCAAAAAGAAAGTAAACCTATCCTTCCCTTAACAAACTCACAATTTAGAAGCAAACTATTACAAAGTATTTGTTATTAAATATAGGAGCTTTTAAACCTGGATATGGCACATTCAAACCCTTCTCAATCTAAAAACAATAAATAATAATCATCAACTGTGAGAGGTAGCTCGTGGCCATGCCAGTCTAGACTGTGCTATCCACAGTGCTACCATCCAGCTGGAACCCTGTGACCTTCCCTTGCCTTACTCCCAAACTCTCTCCTCTTCTTCCCCAGAGATTTTTACTCACTTTCTGAATTTTCCTAATCTGGTCAGAGAGTGTGTCTAACAGGCGAGTTTTCAGGAAGTCCATCACCTTGACCACCCGGCCATCAATGTAGCAACTGGAATAAAAATAAAATAAGAATCAGGTAAAATCTCAAGCAGGAGATTACAAATATATTTCTCTAGCCAGAGGTTTCTGTTGCCTGAGAAACAACAGCCCGGGTTCACTTGAGCTTTTACATTCTAAAAACTTTTGATCCTGCATACTTGTCAAACAAAAATAAACATCTTATCCTCTTTATTTTTACCTCCATCTGTGGGCTAATACTGTGATTTTTTCAGCCTTTGTCCATTGAAACTGCATTTATTGCTCTATAGGAACTGATAGGAATCCATAACACAAATTGGGTAATGGGGAAAAGCTTACTTTGTTGCCCCCATAGGGAAAGTAATTTAACAACCCTTCCATACCATCCTTACTCCCACTTTAAAATAATAAAGGTATGTGAGAGGTTTTCAAGACTACTCAAACATTTTGAAAGGTTTCCACATCTTTAAATAAGAGAACACCAACCACAAAAAATCAGATTTAGTGCAGTGAGTGAGTCGCAAAAATTTCATCTCCAGTTCACTTCCCTAGCAAAATACCTTGTAGTCAACCTCCTTCCATTTCAATAAATGAATGGATATGAATAAACAAATAAGACAGATTACAGTCCAGGTGCCCTATCCTAAAATAGCAACATTTGGCACTCCTCAGTGTGGCAGTGTCCCTGGTTCTGTTAGATGGCTTAAGTGAAACATCAAGTTGTGCTGACACTACGCTGTTAACATTCAACCAAAACAAGTCCATCCGGCTTTGTGTGGACTCTCTGAGAATTCTTACCCTGAAGACTAAGTCCAGAGTTAAGTAACCTCCATTATCTTAAACCTCCCAATACTCGTCTTTGCAAAATTCCAAATTAAATCAATTTAAGTCAAAACTTATGACTCCTGTGTGCCTTTTCCAATCTACTTAGGTCTCCTTGGTTGATGAATAATGATAGACTATGTCATTTTTAGTTAGTCACCAACCTCTCAGTACATGTTTTAGAACCATGTGAAAATCCTTTGTAACCTTAAATTGTCATTCTAATACGTGATGTAGTGGAATGGTTAAAATTCCTTGTAGTCACACTTTGAACCTGGTGCTCTGGCTGCAGTGTGGGTGGTAGCTGAGTGCCTCCCATTCAGCCTTCCCCTTGGCCTCCCTCAGCACGTCACACATTTCCACAGACTCTAATGTTTAAATCATTGGTATATTGGAAAGAGTCCAAGTTTTGGAGCCAGAGATACCTGAATTCAAATTCCATATCAGGTATTTACTATCTATATGATCTTGGATAACATGCCTGGGCTTTATGAGCCTCGGTTTTCTTATTCTTAAAAGAGGTAACCTATCTGCTTCCCAGGATTGTTTGAAGATTAAGCAGATAAACCTAAAGTGTCCGGCATACAGTAAGCATTCAACAACTTTTAGTTCTTTTCTGATTTCTCTAATTTTCAGCTCACAAAGATGGGGTCATAAACAATAGGAGATTGACTAAATTACATGTGTATAGAATTCTAAAAGTGAGATTGTGTGCCAAAGGGTACATGCTTTTGAAAATTTGGGTGGTTACTGATATTAGGGAATAAAACAAACCAATGACAGGACCTTTCACCTCATTCCTGGTACTAGATGCTAGACTCAGATCCAATAAACATTTACTATGTGTAACACACAGAGCTGGTAATGTCCATATCCATCACCTCGCAACCTCTATTAGTAATCCACTGTCAGCACCTCCAGTTATTTTTCGGTTGTGATTAGACAGCATACTACCTGAAAGCTGGGCATATGAAAACACTGCAGTGCTCAAATAAAAAAATAATTTGTGCAATATTAATATAACACATAATGAAGGACATAAATATTTGTATTATACTACATAATGACTATGTGTATGTTAAAAATGTACTGTAATTAGTGTTCTTTTATGTTTTGATCAAATACATTATAGTTTCCTCTTTTTTCTTTGTTAGCTCCCCGTAACTATTTTAAACATCAGAAATATAAATTTTGCTGGCAAAACATAGTTTTAAGGCTCCTTGAGATAAAAGTACCAGATGTACTCTTTCAGTATGTAGGATTCCCTGTGAACATGCATCCTACCCCACAGATTCCATGACCCAGGGTTGAGGGGCCTCACTCTTCCCCTCCTTCCTCTGGTCACTTTTCTCAAGTACACAAAACTTGGAGTTTGAAAGCCTTGGTTCAAGCTCAGCTTTGCCACATACTACAGGGTTACTGTACCCTGTGAATAAAAATCAGGAGAAATGCTGAGAACAGAACATGGCACACAGAAGGTACTCAATAACCAAATCTGTCCTCCAGGTTACTTAAATACCCAAGGTGGTAGCAACCCAAACTAAAAAGCCATGGATGGGATGAGCAGGGAAACACCTATCTGGAGAAAGACGCTGTTCATCCACTGTAGGATCTGGAATGAGGGTATTATGGAGGAGCAAAAACAAACTCTGGATTTCCAGTAGGTGGGAGGCAGGGGGAGAGAAAGAGAGAGAGGGAGAGAGAGAGAGAGAGAGAGAGAATAAAATGGGGAGCGCTGTGATATGCTGCAAAAGTTTGGAGTCTGAAAAGATCTTAGTGGTCATGTGGTCTAAAGTAGGTAAGCCAGTGACAACATCCCTGAGAGTGATTATCTGGGACACGGAATCGACTCTCATACCCTACTAGTACAGATCCATTGTAGCACAGCTCGAACCCAGGAAAGATTTTTCTACCATGGGTCTAAAACTGGCTTCCTCTTATTGTTCACTCAACAGCTGTTTTCTTGGATCCAGGAATAGTCCAGCTCCTCCTTCATGTGACATGTGGGGGAGGAATTCCAGTAAAAACTTTAGCTTAAGCTTTTTAGAGCCTATTCTTGGCCCCACTCTTAACCTAACAAGCTGGATTCAATCATTCTCAGTTGGTCTCAGGCTATCCTGAGGTCCATGAATTAGACAAGAGCCTAGAGAACTCTAGGCAGGAAACCAGTGTGACAAGGTTATCTTATCTCAACAGTGCAAGCAAGAAGGAATCTGGGTCTAAATAAGGGAGGTCACAGAAAAAGTAAAAGTGAGAGCCTGTGAAGAAAGAACTAATAAAATAAAGCTGTAGAGTGTAGGAGAGATGGGAAGGGAGTCAGTGATGATTATGAGCTTATGAGAGAGAATGTCTTAGAGGACATTGGTGCCAAGGACACATATGCTAGTCAGACTAGGTTTTAGGTTTGTCAAAGGAAAGAAATTATTCTGCCTAGATATCAAAGACACAGAGAATATCAAAGAGAAAACAGGTCCTTGGAGATGTGAGAAGTCAGCATAGAGAAAAGTTGAGATAGAAAATGTTGACCTCGCTGTTTTCTTTTCTTCAGTTTGTAAATAATGAATGAAGTCATGGCCATAGATGAGCTCTCGCAGGGAATCAGAGAAGTTAACAGAGATGGGAGATCCTCTAAAAGCCTCTCACTTGTGGCCCTGAACATTGCCTCTGTCTTTGGCCTGAATAAGAGTCCCTTCCCCAGCCTGACCATCACAGTGTCTTTTTAATAATTGCAGTCTGAGTCAGATTCACATCTGGATGCCAAGGAATCCCATATTATCATGAAGTTTCACCAACTTTCATTTGCAAACATAAATTCACATTTATATTGTACTATGGAAATAAGAACTTTCAGTTCAATTCAGTCGCTCAGTTGTGCCCAACTCTTTGCGACCCCAAGAACTGCAGCACACCAGGCCTCCCTATTCATCACCAACTCCCAGAGTTTACTCAGACTCACGCCCGTTGAGTTGGTGATGCCATCCAACCATCTCATCCTCTGTCATCCCCTTCTCCTCCTGCCCTCAATCTTTCCCAGCATCAGGGTCTTTTCAAGTGAGTCAGCTCTTCGCATCAGGTGGTCAAAGAATTGGAGTTTCAGCTTCAACATCAGTCCGTCCAATGAACACCCACGACTGATCTCCTTTAGGATAGACTGGTTGGATCTCCTTGCAGTCCAAGGGACTCTCAACAGTCTTCTCCAACACCACAGTTCAAAAGCATCAATTCTTCACTGCTCAGCTTTCTTTATAGTCCAACTCTCACATCCATACATGACTACTGGAAAAACCATAGCCTTGGCTAGACGGACCTTTGTTGACAAAGCAATGTCTCTGCTTTTTAATATGCTGTTTAGGTTGGTCATAACTTCCCTTCCAAGGAGTAAGTGTCTTTTAATTTCATGGCTGCAGTCACCATCTGCAGTGATTCTGGAGTCCCCAAAAATAAAGTCAGCCACCATTTCCCCATCTATTCACCAATAAGAACTTTGGTCCTGCAGAATTTAGTAGTCCTTTTTAAGAGAGGAGACAAATGAACCATAGGTATGAGTTGATAAATACCTGAGTCTTTTTCTTGGGTACCCTGGGACAATTAGCTTGCTGCACTTCATATACGTGAGCTTCTTAGAAAACACTCAATGTCAGAAGTTTGTAGTTATTTGAAAAACTCTTGCCTATTACAGATATTTGGCTCTCTGATAGTGGCTGCCTATGGTAAAGGGCTCAATATATCAGTTATATTTGGACATAAGAGCCTATGATAACCACTTGGAAAGAATAAATTGTTAAAAATGGAAAAGATGGTGATTTCTAACCAAGACTGGGTAAGTGGAAGTGGGACTGGATTCCAACTGACTGTCCAGTGATGGGGGGCAACTCTCTGTGCTTTCCTCTGTCTTCCTCAGTGGGAAAGTAAAGATGATTCTGAGCTGCCAAGGTTTCTTCTCAAGAGTTAACTAGCTTAATGATGGCTACAAAGGCACCAGAGGACCAAACAAAATCAGAGAGGAAAGGCAGGGAAAGAGAGAGGAAGGGAATTTGCCAGTAAGATGTGCTTTGGCACCTTCCACATAAACCTGGCAGAATGGTTGGTTCTAGAAATGCTTAGACTGATAATTTTAGATAACTCATAGTCCTCCTCTAAACTCTCTTGAAATCTCAGCATCTCTTAGGATCACAACACAAATGGCTGAGCTATTCAACTTAAAGCTGA